GAGACAGCTGAACCATGCACTGACTCCATGCTGCACATCAGAGATTGGAAAACACAACAGCAGGATCAGTTTGTTTGCTTTGAATGACCTCAGCCTCCTGAGAAAGTAAATACATTTCACATGAAGTTGCACACTAAATATCACTCTTATTCTGAATATGACACGGGTCATGTTAGCAGCGTGTTCCATTTAGATATTCTGAATTTAGCATTTTCTGATAAAGAGACGTGGGACATGCCGCTATTATTCGGGTTATAGCTGCATTATTTATACAGCCCACACAGAATATGCGTCTCACCTGTGGGTTTTTACTGCAGTTTCTCGTCTGTTTCCGGTTGGTGCTGTGCATTGTCATGGATGTGTTGTGCACACACCAACTCACTAACAGTTTGCAAGGCTGTGGGTCAAGATACGTGCCCAAAGGAAGAAAGGCCCACATGTCAAGAAAGTGGTTGAAGGAATGAAAGACGGAGGCTGTGCACCTTTCTCTGTTTTCACATAATAAACGACATGTTAATCAGAGTACGCACGGCTGCATGTGAACAGGAATATTAGTGGAGTAATCATTTTTGTTAGCCGTGTAAACAGCTTAGTAGGAAAATTGTCTTTTTCGGAATAAGGGCAAAAAACAGAATATTTGGTGCATGTAAACACAGGCACTGTTTAACCCTTTCTTGAAACCTGAATCCTTTTAGCCGTCACAGGTGCGTCAATACAAGGTGTGTAAAGTCATCCAGTGGGCTGGACTGGACCCTTTGATGGGCCTTGATCGAACACCCCTGATCTAACTCGATGCAACAAAAGAGGAACTAGTTTTTGAATGTGAGGACAGCAAGTGAATGTAAAAGTCAAAGTACAGGTTTACAGGTGTGTGTAGAAACAAGAGGAAAAGTTGAAACTTAAAGGAATGCTTGTAGGTGTTCCTGTCGTTTACTTGTCAATAATGCTTTGGTGTTAATGAGTTTGGCCTCTAAAGTTAGGAAAAGCAGTTTTATTTATTAAGAGTTGAGGCTGCTGTTATCCTTTATTCTTCTATAGTCAATATTTTCACACGTTCATTGTGTTTTTTAAATGTTCATTTTAAAAACAGGTGACAAATATACAAAGGAAAGAGACCAACAGTGTCAGTTTATGGTTAACATGAGCAGGGTATATACTGAAATCTGCACTAGGGTTGGGGACTTTTAACTTTAGTTGATGCTTTTTAAAAAATAAACAAGTTGTATTAACATAGTCTCTACAGATCCTTTTTTACAGAGTCTGTTTATTTTACCTTCACAGGTCTGCTAATAATCCTGAGCTTTTTTTAAATGCACGGAGAAGAAGAGTAAAGACATTCACATTTAAAATCACAAGAAAAACACCTGATGCTTAATTCTCACCTGGAGGCTTGTTGGCGTCTTCTCTGTTCACCTACAAACACAAGAAAGCAAAACACACACACACACACACACACACACTTATGTTGCACCAGTTTCAAAGTCTTGACACACAACAAGCTGATTTCACAGCCTTACCTGTGAGTCACAGTGTTTCCACAATATGCCAAATATCAGCAGAAATATGAGCAGCACACTTTTAAAGCTGAAGCTATTCTTTTGTGGCATTTTACCACCAACTACAGCTTTGTCTGTTAAACTTCTTAAACGTGTGAAAAGATGAAGTTGAGCGTCACAGCTTCTGTTAAACTGCTGTTTTCTTTTCCTGTGTGAGCAGCTGAAATTCATCAGTTAGCTGATTGAGTTTCCTGTCAGTGGATGTTAGTATCAGATTCGTCCACCAGAGGTCCCTGATGTGTTTTACAGCCAGTGTTTCCATGTGCACCTCAGGTAAAAGCTTCAAGCTTACGATACAGTTCATGCAGCAGCAGAAAATGCACTTTACACTTATAAAACACACAGATGCACCAGCTGTTTGTTTCAGCAACTGTCCACAGAAAGAAAAATATCCAGTGTTGTAGAGAGGGGCATGGATAAGATGACGGATATCAAAAAGTATTATATCAAAAGTCTCTATCTAGCACTGCTAATCAAAATACTACTTCTACTGCTACTCATAATAATTATAATAATAATAGTAATCCATAACCATTCATCCATTTTCATCTGCTAATCCTGGGCCAGGTCACGGGGCCAGCAGGTCAAGCAAAGCACCCCAGACGTCTCTGTCCCCAGCAACACTTTCCAGCTCCTCCTGGGGACCCCAAGGTGTTCCCAGGCCAGATGAGTTAATAATAAGAATGCTAAGAAGAAGAATGCTAAGAAGAAGAAGAAGAAGAAGAAGAAGAAGACATTTCATGCAAGAAATACAACTAAAGTTTATTAACATTAAAATAAAAATTACATAAATGCTTACTTGTCATTTGTATTAAAAACACAAGAATAAGAAAATAGGATCAAATCTAATTAATCTTTATCAAAACTTTATTTATAAAAGACAAAAATACATTCAAAACACAAACACAGGGGATATTTATTTTATTCTTACAAATGGGGAAAGACTTGTAATGACCACAATGATTTCCAAACAGCAGAGCAGAGGATACGATGGACCCTGACGAATCTGTTTCATGTGAATCAGTCAATTTATTGCTTATATAAACCCAAACAGGCTGTAAATACATATCCAAATACACAGGGTGAGTGCCCAGAAACAGCTGCAACATCACAGCTGGGATTTTTAAAACAATGAACACTGAGTGTTTCATAATTAATGTAGAAATTTAATAACTGTAATTAAGAAAGTCTTTATGTTGGCTGAACACAAAACTGTGTGTGGGATCTTCAGTTTAGACGTTATCTCTTTGTTTTGTGTATTTTTGGTCGTCGTAGTACTGAGATAGTTGTTTTACTTTACAGCTCCAATTGTCTTCTGTCTCTCTTGCTACAGTTTGGATCAAAATTTAAATACATACCAAATACTTTTATCATTAAACAATACTTCCATTGCTATTATATATTATACTATAGGGGAGAGCGGGGTCGGTTGTGCCTTTTTTTAAACCTCAGAGTTGAGACCTGAATAGTCAATTCATCACATTTTATTCACGTTTTTAAATCTCCAGCACCTTTGTAAACTTTTGAAACTTCTGTAATTTTTTTAATCTGCCAGACTGTTTTTAGTTATGCTGCTTGCTGTCATTGTTGTCCTGCCACTATTACCGCGACATGAGAGGTCTTGGCATGGTCAAGCTCAACACAACAGCGGTCTGGAATCCAGCCACATCCCTGAATCCAGAAACAGAACAAAAAGACTTCCTGACACCTTTTTACACCTCCAGAGTGGATTCCACCATTTTATGATAATGATATTGTCCAAGTATTAGTTCTCTTTCAGTTCTTTTTTTCCCTACCCTTTTTCCCTCTCTGTTTTCTCTCTCCTTTCACATATGCTTAAATAAAACCACCACTTGATCATATCTTACTGATTCTTATTTACCATTGTGCTTGACTGGTTTTGTTCTTACTTGTCTGACAGGAAATTCTTTGTTAGCCTCGGTGATTCTGTATCACAGACATCTGATGTTGAGTATGGTGTACCTCAGGGGAGCATCCTTGGTCCTATTCTCTTTTCTTTATATATGCTCCCTCTAGGTAAAATAATTAGCCATCATAATGTCCATTATCATTGTTATACGGATGATATGCAATTATATATCTCCATTTCATCAGGAGACCCCAGTTCTTTAAACGCTCTTTTTTCCTGTCTTAAGGCCCTGACACACCAAGCCGACGGTCGGCCGTCAACCAAACTTGGGCCGTTGGTGAGCGTCTGTTGCCCTAGTTTTTGTGGTGTGTCCCGCACCGTCGGCACTTCGGTGTCAGCCGATTGAGCATGTTAATCGGCGGCGGAGCATGTCGGTGAGAGAGATCATCTAACCGGTGCTTCCTCCTCAGGCTCCACTTCACTCAGCTGCCCGACAGACCCGCTGCTTCTTCCCACTTTAACCTGAATAACAAACCGGAACTAGCCGGGAGCAGCTAGCGGAGTGTTAGCCACAGCATGACCAGAGGGAAGCACAGCCAGTCAGCCTCCGCTAGCCTCCCAGCTAGCCCTGGCTCTCCATTTGGATTCAAACGGAGAGCCGGGGCTAGCTGGGAGGCTAGTGGAGCGTTAGCCGCAGCATGACCGGAGGGAAGCACAGCCAGTTAGCCTCCGCTAGTCTCTGAGCTAG